AAAATCTATTATTTTACTTTTCTTTTTTTTTCAGCAGAGGAAGGGGACCACAGAGTCAAAGGAACCCAGAGCCCATGAAAGTCATACAGAGTCCTGTGTGTGCCCTGATAAGTTCATTGATGTGTCACAGGCTGAATATGGCTGGGGAACTCTGGATGTTATACCTGCTATTTTCAATGTTCATATAAATCATGTATCAATTGTCATTGATAACATTGTTTTCAGACATATTTTAAAGTGGTCCACTACAAGGCTCATGTTGTTATAATGATGCAAGAAGAAAAACGCTAAAATGACTGTGACAGCCAAATTAGTCAAAAGTAGGGTTTGTATACACAAAAGACACTTTCTGTTTTGTTTTTCCCCACAAGCTCTTTGCATTCACAAGTACTTCTGCCAGCCATTAAAGCCAACAACTTCTACCAAAACTTTTTTCCCAAGAGTGTATATGACTGCTTGTCTTTTACAATGTTCACACGTTTTATTCCCTCTCCCAAATCACTACAATTCAGCAATTACTTTAACCAGCAGTTATATTGAGCCTGCCAACAATATGGTTTAGTTCATCAGCAAAATCTCTTTGAGGGATTTCACCGGCTCAGTCATATCATGAACACATGAAAATTTGCCTACAAAAATTTGCCTGCTTTCCAGTGCTGCTTTTGGAATTAAAAAAGACAATTCCTGCTCTCAGAGAAAGGTGAGATTTGAATGAATGAATCTGAATAGAGTAATGAATAAATGTTGATTGGTTGGCTGACATTCTATATTCAGTGTTATTTTCTTCACAATATAAAATGTCTGAGTGAAAATAACAATTTTAGACAATCGGCTAGCTTTTTATAAATGTAAGACTTGACGTTCCTTCAAAAAGTCATCCAAACCACGGATGAAGTTTTGCACCCTTCACCTGAAAGTCCTTGAATGACAGAGACACTGTCTATCTGCCAATGGATTTGCGTAAATGTTTTGAAACCATTTTCAAGTTTGTAATGTTTTAATTTTCCCCTGGCAAGGAATATTTGCTTAGATCTACTAGCAAACCAGTAATTTCCTTTGAGTAAATTTCTCTGTTTCCTATACAGATATGGAGGCCAAGGAATGAGAAATTTTCTCCATCTGATAGATTCATAAAACTTCAATAATTGGTCCACTGTAACCTTTGTTGTTTGCTTGGGGCCAGTACTATTTCTTGTCGGAACAGACGTAACTGTAATTTTTTTTTTCTTTTTGAGATAGGGTCTTACTGTGTTGCCCAGGCTGGTCTCGAACTCCTGGCATCAAACAATCCTCCTACCTTTGCCTCCCAAAGTGCTGGGGTTATATAGGCATGAGCCACTGTACCCAGTCAACTGTAACATTTGATTGCCTGGTGAGTTTAAATATTATACTTGGATTGCATAGAAGACAAAAGCAATAATTTATGATGCCATACCCTAACTATTTACGGCATTCCTGAAAGTAATCTGTAAAGATTTATGATTTCTTTTCCCTTTATTGTTCTGACATTAAGCACTTTGCACAAAGTTGAAACATTTATTAATTTAATCAAGGAGAAGAGGTAGTTAGTAATAACAGTCACAGCTAAACTATTAATATGATAAACTTTTATGTGCCCCCAAAAGACTGTTTAAAAATATGCAACTTTAAAATTACCCTTGAAACATTTTTTTAAAGAATGGGTGCTTTATGTGATATACTGGCAAGGACATATATTGGAAAGGAAAATACTTTCTTCTATCTACATTCTATTGTAATTACCTATTTATTTACATATGTGATTTCCCCATTACTCTAAAGAGTAAGTTGTATTTAATGATTTTCAATCTTGACTGCACATCAGAATCACCTAGGAAGTACTTTAAAAATACAAGGCCTGATTTAGTCAGCCGAAAGGAAAAAGCCCAGGTTTTGTCCTCTAGTATTAGTTAAAAGCTGCCATGTGAGTCTAATATGCAGCTTGGTTGAAAAATCACTGGTGTAGGGTACCTCAGCACTAGCACGAGCTCTGGCACATAGTAGGTGTTAGATAAATGTTACCTGGAAACTTGAATCCAATTATTAACATGTCTTTTATGAAACAAATATGAAACATGTGGTTTTAGATTTTTACCTTCATAGATATGTTTTCTTTTATTGAAGAACATACAAAAAAATTCACATCTCATAGATGGACAACACAAGCATTTGTTCTGCTTTATAGTATTAACAACTTAAAAAATGGTTTGGAATAATTCACTGGAAACATATGAAAACATACTCTAGCAACTTGTGAGCTCTCATAATATAGGTCTACAAATAGCATTTTTAATCTTTTATTAGGGCTGGGCATGGTGATTCATGCCTGTAATCCCAGTACTTTGGGAGGCCAAGATGGGAGGATCGCTTGAGCCCAGGAGTTGGAGGCCACAGTGAGCTATGATCACACCATGGCTCTCCTGCCTGGGTGATAGAGCAAGACTTTGTTTCTAAAAACAAAAACAAAGTGACAAATTTAGGATGCAGCAGAAAAATGTATCTGTTAGCTTGTAATTGTGTTAAAGCAAAAGTATATATTATACTTATGTGTACTCAAATATAAGAGTGTATTTTTACCACAATTGTGCAAATTTTAACATCTGCTTTTTCTAGAAATCCATCTCTTCCCCCAACACATATTATCAGGCATGTTTTGAATACAGCATTGTTCAATGGTTAATTGTAAATGGCTTATTCTAGGTACTTTATTTTTGAAGTTCATTACTGGACATATTTGTATGAACTTCACAGGAGGTAGTTTTTCTATGAATTATCTATTATGTTGAATAACTCACCACTGAGTCCATATCTACTTTTTTTCCTTATAAATTAGACTTTTTTTTGTATTATACTTTTAGTTCTGGAGTCCATGTACAGAATGTGCAGGTTTGCTACATAGGTATACACGTGCCATGGTAGGCACGGGCAAAGACTTCATGACTAAAACACCAAAAGCACTGGCAACAAAAGCCAAAATAGACAAATGGGATCTAATTAAACTAAAGAGCTTCTGCACAGCCAGAGACTACCATTAGAGTGAACGGGCAACCAACAGAATGGGAAAAAATTTTTGCAACCTAGCCATCTGACAAAGGGCTAATATCCAGAATCTACAAAGAACTTTTTTTTTTTTTTTAAGTTCCAACTAAATAATTTTATGTTAAATAAGGCTTGATTAGGGTTTGGGGATGAATCTCACTCCTTGTGTGTAACAGTACAAATGTAATAGTTATAATTATGTTTCTATATTATTTAGGACAGGCCTTGATGAACCATCGGAAAGGTCCTGTACAAATTGGTGCTATATGCTGAATATTTTCTGGTAAAGTTGAATTTTCTCATTGATTTTTAAATCTTATTCTTATAGGCAGAAAGGATACAAGAACAGAAACTGTAATTCTCAACTTTTATTGTATCAAAGCATACTGCTTATTGTAGAAAGGCATAAAACATTCAACTGGCATCTAGTTAAATGCTTGTTTTAACTTATAGAATGAATGAGTGACAAAAAATTGTCCAAAGATTACCATGGTAGAAAGACTAATATAAGCCTCAAAAGTCGACACCTAAGGAAAAGACTTTAGGATACAGTGGATGCTGATCTCGCTATAGGATTATGGATCAAAATTATCTGGCGATTAATAAATACTAAGTATTATGCACAAATCCAGATTTCTTGAAACAGAAATCTTGGAGGTCACTGTAGAGGAAAAAATGGTGGGAAAGAATCTTGGGAATGTACATGTATTTCTTTAATTTTTATTTTTAGTTCTGGGCTACATGTGCAGGGTGTGCAGGTTTGTTACATAAGAAAATGTGTGCCGGGTGCTTTGTTGCACCTATCAACCCATCACCTAGGAATGAAGCCCAGCATGCATTCGCTGCAGGAATGTGTATCTTTAGTAAGCCCTCCCTTTTCTACCCCAGGCGATTCTTATGCAAGCCATGGGATAAATCTGTGGTCAAGCATTTGGGAACCTTTTGTATAGTGGCATGTACACTAAACAAAGAGTTAAAAAACTTAGGCTCTAATAATAGATCTGCTGTTAATTTATCTGGGACAATTTACTTAACCCTGACAAATTGGTGAGGTGCTTCATTCCTTGATAATTTTTCCCATGCTTTGTAAAGTTCATTGGTGCCTAATATATTGTGATTCATCAGTTTTATCTTTCATGACTTCCTAAAGCAAACTTCTAATAGAAGAGTAAATACACAATAACATGATTAACTTCAAGAGAAGATTAAACTGCCTATATATTTCACAAGCAAAAATTCCCAGCTCAGGACTGAACTGTGTCCTGCACCAGGAGTTTGCGCATGTGTAAAACAAGTTTTTACATGTGTCCATCATCTATCTTGTAACTATGAATGGTCAATAAATTAGAAAAATCCGTGGCTGCCCATTGCAATGGTCTTAACATTTCAAAAGCATGTTACCTTCAAAAGATATCTACCCCTAAACAACAATACAAAAGATTTGCAAAAACACTTTATCCCAGTCTTATCAAGCACCATTCTAATGTTCTAATAATTCCTTATAATTGGCAAATAGAAGTGCCTATGTTAACAAAATCTAATAATTTCCTGATTACTGACTTTAGTCATTACATATATATTCTGTGATATGCCTAGATCCATATTCCTACATCTAACAGTGCTTAGCCATATTTAAAGAAAAGAGAGGCTCATGAAATATTTGTTGAATTAGTAAAAGAAGCAAGGAAAGAAGGGAAGGAAGAGCAAGCAATAGAAAGAGAAAATTTTGGCTTATTTTAATGAGGGTAATGAAGTTTTCCATCATTGGACACCTCACCATCCATCTCCATTAGCTTATGAATCTTCCATAGGAAATATGTTGGGGCACATGGACTTGCCTTGAATGTCAAAACAACAACAACAACAACAACAACAACACCACCACCACCACGAGATATTTAGTAGATGGACTTTCAGGATTTGTTCTGAAAGGAATAGCTCACCTTTTTTTAAACAGAGGCTTTCATTGACCAGTTTTCCCTCCTTGTTGACGTCTATTTTCATCCAGCTATGGAGCCATTTCCAGGCATTCTTGACCACTACTACTCTGAAGTTTTGTTTCTGGAGAAAGAAAGAGGCATTTTCTACCTCAAGGAAGACTTCCTGATCATAGCAGGTCCATCGGGGTGCCTGGGAACAACGGGCTAAGATGACTGGGCGGGAGGGGCCGTGAGAGGAGTTGGAGATGGCCAAGCACTGAGCAGATTTCACGTGAAGGAGCTTTTCATCCTCAGTCCACATCCACTGCTGGTTCTGGATGGTCCTATTGCATGAGCCCATGACCACTTTCTCATTTTTGAAAAGACACTGTTGTTCCTGGACATGGACAATCTGAAAACCTTCTGGAAGATGAAAAGCTCATATAATACTAGGTAGCAAATTACGAGGCCCATTAGAAAATGGAAGAACCCACCCACAAATGAGCTAATAAAATCACTAGTTTTACTTATAGTTGTTATTGCTATCATTTCAAGTGAATATTCTCATATTTAACATATGCGATTTAAAATCCCAAAGCTGACAATGTAAAATGTCCATATGTCACACTTAACTCCCCAACTTTTTTTTTTTTTTTTAAATTTTCACAGGCTTTAGGGAAAAAATACACACCCCTTACCGGAAAATGAAAGGAAGCTTGGAAACAAACAAAACCATCTGAAGTATATAGTACATTTTAGCCTGGTTAGATATGCTGAAGTTATGAAATGCTCAGCTCCCTTTTTAACCATTTGATTTAATACTTTCCATGTAACCTGCCTCCCCTACCTTAAAAAAGTACCCCCTTTCCAGTCTTTAAATTCACATTGCAATAAGTATTTGTATACCAATTATAGTTTGAATAACAATTTTTAAAAATTGCATACATTGATCAAAAATAAGGCAAATTTTCCCACTCCTCCAAGCACAACCTCCTAGCTAATTGCAGCCAATGAAAGTACTGATTATCACAAACTAAATTTCCTTTAGTCATGCAGAGGAGCATTTCTCTGTTTTGTGACAGTATCTACAGTTTTCTCTCAAATCCTAACAGATTTTTAAAAAAAATCATCATTTTTCAATGTAAGAAAATTAAACATCCAATTGCTAAACATCAGCACTAAAGAGTAAGATATTCTGGCTCAGAAACCATTTTCAATGAGGTTTTACTTAAAATGCCCAGCTCGCTCATGAAAATGTTCAGCCCTCCCAAATGACAACTTCCAAATAAAACACACATTTCCTCATCCCCTTTAATCATATTTCTTCCATTTTCTTTCTGTAACACAAAAGAAAATAAAACTATAACCGGGTTGAAAAAAGGCTTAGGGAATGCCACAGACTATTATATAATAATTCAAACTTTTCCTCAGGGTTCTTTACTCTCTGCTGTAAATGTGTCATTTCAGGGGTTGCCTGAGGCATTTGGAGGACGGAAGGAGAACGTTTAATTTTTTTTTTTTTTTGGAGAGAAATCTTAGCAGTGTGGGCATAGCTGGCTCCTTTTATTCCCCCTCTTCATCATCTTTGGCTAAACTGCCATGGAGACCTAGCTCCTTTCACCTTATTTCAGACACTTTTCAAAGACCGGAGACTCCTCAGCCAGATCTGGAAGAAATGCCTCAGGAAACTGAGGCAGACCCACTCACCTGAGTTTCTGAAGATCAAGCAGGTAAGAATCACCATGTAAAATTCAGCCTCCATTTTCCAATTAGCAACTGTTCATGCTTCGCTTGGGAAAAAAAAATTCTCCCAGATAAGAGAAGCAAAGACTAGGAAGGAAATGTGCCTTCATGGTGGGGGGAAAAGTCAGTGACGAGCACTTCCTCCTATTGAATTGTTTGGGGAAGTTTTATACCAGTGTCCTTTTGTCTGTTTCCTTAGAAAGAAGGGATTATGATTACCTCTCTTTTTTTATGTAGAAAATATTCCAGCCTTCAAGAGCAGAGTAAATCTCATTAAGACCTCACCTACCTTTCTTTCGGCGTGTGACTACTTCTTAACCTCAAGAAGAAAGAAAGGAATTGTAATCTTAGGTAATTGAATGTTTCTGAAACATTACATCTCTTCAGGTGATGTGATTCTGCTGAATAAACATAAGCCATGTAATTCATGAGGGTCTATGATAAGTGATATAAAAATATAAACATGTACTGTTTGTATAATGAAACACTGCAAGTCTACTGAGGAAAACCACATAATGATGGTACGTCTAGATCATTATCTCTCAAGTGATGACAATGTTACATTTTGAGATCATCATCGCCACTGGGGAGATGCAGACACTAAAATTAAATCCATCACGCTATCTACTTAGGTCTTCCCCAAACAGATGATGACCTCTTTCCAAATAGGAAAAAAAAAAAAAAAAGAAAAAAAAAAAAGAATATGCTTTACTCAGTCGTTAGTATTAAGAGTTTATTGGCAGTATGAAACAAAGTCAACATTGCTGCATTAAAAATTCTTATTTAAGCAGAACAGCTAGTGTTTGCTGTGGGTTGTTAAATTTTTTTTTTTGTCTCTTGAAGATTGAAACCTTTCAGAAATGTTAAGGACGTACATGGAAATGTCCTTATAAGGAACTTCTGAAAATGGGACAGGTTATATCATTCCTGGAGGCATATGCCTTTTGTTGAGAGAGAGATTCCAGGTAGATAGCATGTTCAAAAATCCCTTCTTAGCAAAAGAGAGACAAGTATTTAAAATTCTTGATACTTCATAGTTGCTACAAATTTTTCCTTTGAAAGTAAAATGACTCACGGTGTAGAAATATAGTGGATAGAGTTCTGGAGCAGAAGCCACCTCTATGCCCAATAATGGAGAGTAAATACATATATACCCAATGACAATCATTGTGCTCTGTAATTGTTTGATAGGAGGTACTATAAATACACGTTTAATAGGTAATATTATCAAGACACATTTCCATATAAAATAGTTACTGCTTTTGATTTTTGTTTTTCAAAAACAAAGACTTATTTTGTTAAAAATCCATTATCAATCACTTGCAACTTTAGCAGCAAGATTCTTGTAACTGAGAAAGGTAATAGCACTTAAAAACGGGAACAGTTTAACAGCTGACGGTCCATTCACAAGACAGATTTTGCAAACATTAAAGCATCTAACACATAATACGAATGTCTTCAGCAGCTCATCCAGTCATCACCTGATGACATATATCACCGAATATTAAATACATACATTCTGTGTGGCAGATAGAGTCAGTACAGACAAAACAAAATCTGCCTTAGGCTGTGTGAGAAACCTATCATACCTTCACCATCAAAAAACCTTCAAAATAATTTGGGGGATGCTTACGAATGCATTCATGTACATAAGGAGCTGGCAATCTTTAATATGTTGCCCAGTCTTCCACATCCATGCCATACGTTGGCTTCAGAGCTTCTCCTTCCCTCCATTGCAGGAAGCCCCTTCTAGAAGCCTTGGGTGAGTAATTTGATTAATCACCCCAAGAGATGGATGGTCTGACCAGTCTTCAGTGACTCACTGGACAGTCTCTGCTGAAAGTCTGCTCTCATACAGGCACAGAGCGTGGTGCACAAATTCATACTGCTCACTGGTTTGCACCATTCCACCTCTGCAAGGAAGAAATAATCAAATGACTTCTTTTTGCTAAAATCTTGCAATTTCAAGTAACACAGAGATTATATCCAAGCTAGGGCAGTATGCCAAAGACACATGGGACAGTTGACCTAGTGGTTCTTTTGTTATCCCTCTTACCTGTCTCCAAATGTCTCAACTGTCAAAGTTAATATGCTAATGTATATAAAGGGCTTAACACAGTCCGTGGCACACAGTAGGCGCATGATTAATTTTACCTATATAACATTACTTGGGAAGTGGTATAGCCTAATTATCAAGTACTTGGATTTGGCAACAGCCAAGGTGAGTTCATATCCCTCCTCTGCCAATTCTTAGCCATATGATCGTGGACAAATTCCTTGAAACCCTTTGCACTTTAGTTTCTTCCTCTGTTAAAGCAGAATAGTAAGAGTAACTACTTGGTAAGGTAGCAGTGAAGCTTAAACATATTCAATGCAGCTGGTGTACTGGTATTACTTCATGGATGCCTCTTCATTCATCTTGTGTTAAAATGGTTTATTCATTTGGCTTAAAATTGATTGATGGAGATGAATCAAACATAACTCATCTGCAAAATGTTTCTCTTTTTACAAGTAAAAAGAAGTCTACCTTGGAATGGTTTATTGAATATATTGTACGGAAGCAACCTTAGCCTTTGGGTGTACTGAGTGTCTAGACACAATGGTGGGTGAGTTCTTAAGTGAGCTGGAAAAAGGGAATTAATTGGCTCTGACATTTTCCTCTTGGTTATCAACATTAACATCACTCGCTGCCCAGCACCCTCCTTGTCACTGGTTTAGTAGAAGGCACTTGCCTTCACGAGAAATAATGGTGCTTCTCATTATGCTTTTACACACATAACACCTATATACCTACATTACATTTCCCCTCTTCATAATTATGGTTCTTTTTTATTTTTTGAGATGAGGTCTTCTTAGTTGCTCAGGCTATAGTGCGGTGGCATGATCACAGCTCAATGCAGCCTCAACTTCCCAGGATCAAGTGATTCTCCCACCTCAGCCTCTGGAGTAGCTGAGACCACAGACACCACCATACCTGGACAATTTTTGATTGTTTTTTTCTTTAGAGACAAGGCCTCACTATGTTGCCCAGTCTGGTTTCCTAGACTCAAGTGATCCCCTTGTTTCGGGCTCCCGAAGTGAAGAAATCACAGGCATGAACCATGGTGCTCAGCCCTGTAATTATGATTCCTTAGCTTGACAAAGATACCAGACATTAATATGTTACTATTACTGCTCACTGTATAAAAGCATTATTATCAGTAACTATTTGAAATCTCATAAAGTCACTGTAACTCTGCAATCATACAACTAATTTTATCTTTTAGTTTAACTCTATGTTTTAACCACATTTTTCTAAGTGGCTGTTAGTATCACGCAAGATAACTTTCAGATTATTTAGGTACTTCAACTTAAAAACAAGGTATCTTGTCTCACTGTAATAAGACTTCTAGTTTGTGCTTGTATGTATGTTTGTGAACATATGTCAATAGTAAAGCAGTAAAACTTCCCCCTTTTAAACTAAACAGTGATTCTCCAGGAAAATTAACATGATGTCAAAATGATGTCATTTAGCAAAAAATAAAGAGGTAAATTCACAGTTTGCGGTGACAGCAACTTACTGACACAGAAGTATTTAATTGGTCTTTCCCTCTAGAAAGCATCTAACACATAATATGAATGTACATAATACAAACATGTTGTACAGAAACATCCTTAGCCTTTGGGTGTACTGGGTGTCTAAACACAATAGAGGGTGGGTTCTTAATTGAGTTGGAAAAAGGGAATTGGCTCTGGCATTTTCCCTTTTGTACATTTTGTTGCATTAAAGGCAATCTTCTGGGCAAAGTATCCCTTGGTCAGAAGGGAACAACAGAAATGGCCAGTTGAGAATGTGGTAATGGTTTCTCTTCTTAGCTGTATGATGACATCTGGGCTCACCTAAAAACATAGCAGGTGTTCCAAAGATGCTGGCTTTAACTATGACGCTTGGGAGACGCCACCACAGTAAATATTAGGGTAGCTCCAGGGAACTGAGAGGTACCTCCCTTCCTCTGGCATTTGCACAGCTCAGGGCATCATTATTCTGCCTTGAGCTGCAGACAGTGTGTGGAAGCTTCTATGTGCTCCAGCTCTTAGGCTCTGGTCTGTCAACTTCCTCTCACCATTGACCTCACTTTGAGGCAAGATTTTCCCCTTCTTGTATGTTCTGGTCAGCACTGGTATTTACATGTCCAACTGGCGAATGAATGGAGACACAGTTTAGATTTTAATAACTGTTTCATCCTAAGTGGGTCAATGGTGTAATTTAATGGTTGGAATATATTTACTATGACATTCTGTTCACTAAATCAAGGTTGTTTTAGCCAATGAAAGTGAGGAAGATGGAGAAACACACTCATTAATTGTGGGCTGGCAAAATTCTTGCAGGTCTGAAGGCTTCAGGAAGGTATATGAAAAGTTCTGTTACCTCCCACTTAATTTGGAAAATAAAAATGAAAAAAAAATTGGCATCAGAGGAATCCTTAGAGATCATCCATTCTAGTCACTGACAATACAGCTTTTGTAGAAGGAAGCAATCTATGTACAACAGATGGCCAGCTGGCTTCTGCTGGAATGCTCATGGGGTGAGGGACCTTTAGAGGCAGCCTTTCCCAAGGTTGGCAGGAAAACTTTTAAGACATCAACATGAATCTGCCCCTTTCTAACTTTCACCACATTGGTCCAACTGAAATAACTCAAAAGAAGTCCTAAGGCTCCCCTGCAGTCACACAACAACTCTCCAAAGGCTGGAAAACAGCCATCAAAGTCCTATAATCTTTTCTTCTTTAGACTAAACATCCTGTGGTCACCCAATATTTCTGTACAGCCTGGTTTCTCTGTCACTCACCATTCTAGTCTCCCTCTTCTACAGGCTGTTTTATCAAATATGACCTTCTTAGAGCGTTGTGTCCCCTCCTGATGGTATCTATGAAGTAGGCTTATTTTCTCCCTCCAGCTGCACATTGAAGACCAACAGATTTGCGTTTGCAGGTGCATCAGGTGGTAAGGTCCCATGGTGCCTTACATGGTGCCTGGTCCCCCGGAATATTTTAAGATATTAACTGACAGCGTAGGTTAATTAAAAAGTCGGCAAGACTGTTTTTGAATCTAGATATTACAGCTTTCTCCCATTCTGTAATTATGCTACCAAATTTTTGAAGCTAAATGCAAGGCTTTCTATTTATTCTTGTTAATTTCAACTTGTTAGTTTCAGCACAATGCTGTTGTTTACTGGACCACTATTTATCAGTCAATATACTAGTCTTCCATTTCTTGCTCCCAGCTTTGTATCTCCAAGATATTGAACAAGGATGCCTTACATCTTTTTATCTAAGGCACTTATAAAGAAACAGAAAAAGAGACAAAGTAGGGTCTTTAATTTGAGTAAACTGATATCATGTTATGTACTATCTAATCCCATTTTAAATTATTTCTGACTAGGTTGTAGGTCCTTTAAAGACCTATAAGCATAATGGCATAATCTTCTTATACTTGTAACAGTAAAAAGCACTTGCCAGTCCTAGGTAAATACCTGTCAAATGAATTACCCAGATCATGCTATTTTCATGTCATGTGAAAACATTAACTCTAGGCTAAAAGAAAGCAAAAGGTATTACAGGATGCACCCACCAGGGGCTGGTTCAAATTCAGGAACTCAT